ATATTATAACTACAGCATTAGAGAAGCTGTGCCCAGAAACTGAAAGACAAATTGAAATGAAGCTAACGTGAACTCTCTTCACCAGTATGTTAAAAAAATGAAGATAAAACTGGTTGACAACTTCTGAAAGCCTGAAGCGTCATTCAATCACAACACACATACAGGTGGAACTAGAAAAATTTGAGTATCGTGCAAAAGTTCATTTATTTCAGGAATGCAACTTAAAAGGTGAAACTAATATATGAGATAGACTCATTACATGCAAAGCAAGATAGTTCAAGCCGTGATTTGTCATAACTGAGATGATTATGGCTTACAGCTCATGAAAACCCTAAATTCACAATCTCAGAAAATTAGAATATTACATGCAATCAATAAAACAAGGATTGTACATAGAATATCGGACCTCTGAAAAGTATAAGCATGCAGATGTACTCAGTACTTGGTTTGGGCCCCTTTTGCAGCATTTACTGTCTCAATGCGGTGTGACATGGAAGCTATCAGCCTGGGGCACTGCTGAGGTGTTATGGAAGACCAGGATGCTTCAATAGCGGCCTTCAGCTCTTCTGCATTGTTCGGTCTCATGTCTCTAATCTTTCTCTTGGCAATAACCCATAGATTCTCTATGGGGTTCAGGTCAGGCGAGTTTGCTGGCCAATCAAGCACAGTAATCCCACGGGCATTGAACCAGGTTTTGGTGCTTTTGGCAGTGTGGGCAGGTGCCAAGTCCTGCTGGAAAATGAAGTCAGCATCCCCATAAAGCTTGTCTGTGGAAGGATCTCCTGGTAGACGGCTGCGTTGACCCTGGACTTAATGAAGCACAGTGGACCAACACCAGCAGATGACATGGCTCCCCAAATCAACACACTGTTGAAACTTCACACTGGATTTCAAGCATCTTGCAGTGTGTGCCTCTCCATTCTTCCTCCAGGCTCTGGGTCCTTGGTTTCCAAATGAGATGCAAAAGTTCCTCTCATCAGAAAAGAGAAGTTTGGACTGAGCAACAGACCAGTTCTTTTTTTCTTTAGCCCAGGTAAGACGCTTCTGACATTGTTTGTTGTTCAGGAGTGGCTTGACAAGAGGAATACAACATTTGAAGCCCACGTCCAGGATCCATCTGTGTGTGGTGGCTCTTGATGCACTGACTCCAGCCTCAGTCCACTCCTTATGAAAGTCCCCAACACTTTTGAATTGCCTTTTTCTGACAATCCTCTCCAGGCTGTGGTCATCCCTGCTGCTTCTACTTTTCCCTTCCACATAGCTTTCTATTAATGTGCTTTGATACAGCACTTTGGGAACATCCAACTTCTTTTGCAATTACCTTTTGAGGCTTTCCCTCCTTATGGAGGGTGTCAATGATGGTTTTCTGCACAACTGTCAGGTCAGCAGTCTTTTCCATGATTGTGCTTCCTACTGAACCAGCCTGAGAGACCATTTAAAGGCTCAGGAACCCTTTGCAGGAGTTATGGCTTAATTACCTGATTAGAGTGGGACACTTTGAGCCTAGAATATTGAACCTTTTCACAATATTTTAATTTTCTGAGATTGTGGATTTGGGGTTTTCATGAGCTGTAAGCCATAATCATCTCAATTATGACAAATCACGGCTTGAACTATCTTGCTTTGCATGTAAGGAGTCTATCTCATATATTAGTTTCACCTTTTAAGTTGCATTCCTGAAATAAATGAACTTTTGCACGATATTCTAATTTTTCGAGTTTCACCTGCACATACAAAGCAGAGGTGGTATTCAGCAGGTTCTAACCAGTTCTGGAGAACTGGTAGTGGAAATTTTGAGTAGTTCAGAGAACCAGCAAATACTATCTCTGACCGGCCCTGCTCCTATCTATCCTCTGCCTCCCGAGTCCCAGCTGATCGGCTGAGTCGTCTTTTGTTGCCCTGTACAGGAGAAAGGAGCTGGAAAGCAGGTGGGGGGGGGACGGGGATTTTGCAGTATCCTTCCCCTACCACGCCCAGCAAGCCACACCATGCCCACCAAGTCATGCCCACAGAACCGGTTGTAAAAATTTTGGAATCCCACCACTGATACTAAGTATAGTATTTTCTAAATACTTTTTAAAAAAAAAGTTCAGAACATCCTTCAGATGTATGGAAGCTGTCTACTTCCCGGAGTTTCTGACAATCCAATACGAATTATTAAGGAAGGCACTCCTTGAATCCTACTCTTGAATGATTGCCATTATCAATGTTGCACTTTGAGGATGCTTCCTTTCTGCAGTCGGCCATCTTTGGAATAGTGTCCTGAGTCAACATGAGCCCTACTGTAATGGGAAGTAGGAATGAACTCGAGGAACAGCAGGAAGAGTCAAATCCAAGGCAACAATGTTAAAAGAAATTTAATTACATCAGAAATGTAATTTGAGAAGTAAAATTTGAAAGCCTCAGATTTGATCCTCCCTAGTTCTCTGAAAGATAAAGAGAGGATTGGGGTAGGCACCTTCAGATTTTCAAGAGTCTGTTACAATACGGGAACTTTATAATAAAAGTAGTACAGGAAGTTCTTGAATTACAACAGTTCATCTAGTGACTGTTCAAAGTTACAACGGCAGTGAAAAAAGAAACTTATAATTTTTCACAATTACGACCTTTGCGGCATCCCCATGGTCATGTGATCAAAATTCAGCCACTTGTCAATTGGTTCATATTTATGACCATTGTGGTGTCACCAGGTCATGTGATCCCCTTTGTGACCTTCTGACAAGCAAAGTCAATGGGGAAGCCAGCCTCACTTAACAACCATGTTACTAACTTATCAACTGCAGTGATTCACTTAACAACTGTGACAAAAAAGGTCGTAAAAATGGGGCAAAACTCACTTAACAAATGGCTCACTTAACAACAGAAATCTGGGGCTCAATTGTAGATGTAAGTCGAGGACTATCTGTATTAGCATTCATAATCTTCATTTCCCAATGTAGTCTACCTTGAAAGGCTGACATCTATTGGTTATAAAACCAGAAAAGCTGCCAACACCAGATTCTTCTGGAAAGCCTCTGGGGCTTTATGGTATGGTGAGTCTCCTCTTTGTAGCTTGTCATTATTGCTGTTTTCTCTGATGTTTTAATGTTTACAAATCTGACTATTATTGGGTTGGTTGGTTTCCTATTCCTATTTTCTCTATTTGCATTTGGATTATAGCAAAATGTCCAGAACAATTTTGAAGTATAGTAAAATGTTCAGAATAATTTTGAATTTTGAACAATGTATAAATTAGGTTATATAAACAGAGTGTGGGAGAAAAAAAATTGCTGTTTTCCATTGCTACCTATTTTACAGCGGGTACATCATTCTATTCATTCAAAAGCCAATTTGTTATACCAGTTATAGGTGTTAATTTAAGCATACGGAGAACATCTTTCCATCAAATATCCTTTCAGCTATGAATCATCCGAGACAACTTTGGCTCTGCAATTTCTCTTGAGTTAACATATCCCATGCAATTCTATCACAAATGATTAAAATTATGAATACTGCCATGCTCTTTCAGAGGAAGAATACAACAATTCAGTAATCTTGTTTCTCTTGCTAACGAGAGGTAAAAGTCAATGGTAAATAGAGGTGCTAGTTTCTGTTCCTCATCTAGATGTGTCTATTACTACAGCATTTGTGCTGACATCATTTCTCAGATGGAATACAGATTCTTAAAATGCATTACAGCATACGCCAAATAGTCATTTACTAAAGGAATTCGGCAAAAGAAAATTCACCGTGTGTTTTACCCAGACTAACTTCCATTGAAGCTGGTGCGCTTTAGCATTTCAGCTAGAACTTCTTAAAAGAAGGAAATCTGTAATTGTAAACAAACATTCTTCTGAATAACAGGAAAATATAATAGTACTATTAACTTTATGTGCTGCCTGAGTGCTAGCCACTCTGGATGGTTCGCAAACTGCTAAGACATTTAAAAACAAGGAACAATTGCAGAAATGATTAAACTGGATGGAGCAAAGAAGAAAAGGCTTCAATCACCCTTGCCAAAGGCCAGGTCTTTAGGGCCTTTTGAAACACCAGAAGGGTGAGGGTGTTTGAATTTCAGGGTAACTTCATCTGAGAAGGTGCACTGCTGGGGTCCCAACAGATGAGCCCAGGAGGAATCCAGAGTACGCTAACCCTGGAAAGATAATAGGGGAGACAGGAAACTCTTCAAGTAACCAGGTCCTATGCCTTTATAGACAGCAACCAGAAGCAAACTGGCAACCAGTGCAGTTCATGAAGCAGAGATGTTACATCATCATGAAGCAGAGATGTTACATCAGTGGTGGGATTCAAACATTTTTACTACCGGTTCTGTGTGCATGGCTTGGTGGGCATGGCATTGTTTGGTGGGCATGGCAGGAGAAGGATACTGCAAAATCCCCATTCTCTCCCCACCCCACTAACCTGCTTTCTAGCTCCGTTCTCCTGTGCAGGGCAACCAAAGAAGACCCAGCCAATCAGCTGGGACTCAGGAGTCAGAGAATAGATGGGGGCAGGGCCAGTCAGAGGTGGTATTCCAAACTACTCAAAATTTCTGCTACCAGTTCTCTGAACTACTCAAAATTTCTGCTACTGTTTCTCCAGAACTGGTCAGAACCTGCTGAATACCACCTCTGATCAGCATATTGAGGCATATTCATCACTGCTTGTGCTGCCATATTTGGACCCACTGAAGTTTCTGGTAATCTTTAGAGGAAGCCCCATGGAGGGTGCATTGCAGTAGTCAATCCATGACCAGGACATGGATGATATTGGATATTTCACACGGTATATTTGGCTCAGATGGACAAAGAATAAGATTTAACAGAAGCAGACTCAGTAAAATTTGGGCAAAATTTACATGGCAACTTGACAAATTAATTAATTAAAATATGTATAACATTTCTAGAAAAGTTTATAAAAATTAGAAACCATTGTTCGTCTGAAAATCTTGAGGAAATTCTGATACTTAAAAGTCCCTGGAAAAATAAAGATGTGGATAGGAGTAAGTCAGCAGCACTTACTAGTCAGTGAGACGTCGCCATAACTGCCCACCTGAAATCAGATAAATTAGGATAGGATAAATAATAAAAGCAAAAGGCATTTCCTTTGTGGCCGAGAATATAGTACTTATGAGCCATCAAGTTGCTCTCTCTTACACACACACACACACACTCTCACACACTCACTCATATATGTGACCTATATTCAGATCATAATTAAGCTATACAAATGCAACACAGGAATCAGCTCTTGCAGCTAAAGAAATCATATCTCACTGTACAAACTTTCAAAAATGCTTACGTGAATATTGATCTTTACAATTTAGGAGCTGATATCTGAATATATTCTGGGACAAATTAGTTGATATGAGCCATTTCTCTTAGTGAGCTGATCAATTATCTAATCACAATATTAAGCAACTGATTTATTTATTTCACATGTATGTTGCCGATCTTGCAAAAAACGACTCTAGGCTCTTAGATAAAATGCAATGTAAAAGATTAAAACAATAAAGAAGGATCTTAGATTTCAAAATTCAATTAAAATAAAACTATGAATGGAGAGGGAGGGAACTCTTTTACTTATGTGGCACCCAAGGTAGATTACCTGAGACTGTAATTTCTAAATTAGGTGGACAAAGTGATAATGTTTCCAAACTTTACTGATACAACTTTACATGCTAAACTAGGTAGAAAAACAAAACCTTACCTTTTAGTCTAGACAACACTAATTCCTTCATCATCTGTATAAAGACTATTCCAAGAAGTATGAGTGAAACCAGGTGGTAAAATTTCCAAGGAGTTAGTGCTAGGAACCTACAAGAGAATTATATCAGAATCATTTCACTGAGCAAACTTAGAGAGTTTTGTTTCCTTAAAAAGCTACATGAAATCACCAGGAATCAAAATCAATTTAAAACAAAATCTAATTTTACAGTAAATTTAATATGACTGTTTGCCAAGTTTAATTTAAAAAAAGTTCTGTGCTGCGTTGCCATTAAGCACATGTTGTGTGAAATGTAGAATAGAATAGAATGAATGACCTAGAAGGGATGTGGGAGGTAATACAATTTTAAAAAATTATACTATAAAAAATCCCTCCCCCCCCCATTCCCAAAAAGAATTCTTTGCAAAGGATTATACGCCCACTCTTATGATTTTGGAAGAAGTATTACTGAACTTGTGGAAAAGGGAGGAAAATTAAATGTTATTTTTTAAAATTTTACTCTAGATTTAAATCTTCTGAAACCACATTTAAAAAAAACACCAGTCAGAAAATTGAGTGTCATCATGAAGTTTGGTTTAGCTTTAATGTGATGTGCAAGCACATCAACTGTGGCTTGTAAACAAAGTTAATGGCATTGCATTATATGAATCAGACCACATTATTTTATTTAAAATATTTGTTAAATAAATGTTGGCTTAGTGTGCTGTATAAATTTATCTCTTTAATGTGGGTTTCTAACACATAGTAAGGCTTTGTTTTTGGCAGATGTAAATTACATAGAATGTGTTTATAAAAGATCTAACAATGAATTCTTGCAAATAATGTGCAACTCTTTAAAAAGAAAATACATCATTTTCTAGTGGAGCAAAAGAACTGCAAGAGAAGTCATGTTATATTTCCTTGAATATCAGCTCCCTTTCCAAATGCATTACTCAATAGTTTCTTACTAGATTCAACAGGTTTTTTTTAAATGGAAAAAAGAGAGAGATTATAGCACTCTTCTGACCTGCTGATTAATTTCACTCAGAAAAGGCTTTTATATCTGATCCTAACTCAACAATGGCAAACTGCAAATACTGACACTTCATTTGCATTTTTGTTTAATTCATATATCAATGAAATGACAAGAGTATTTGGAGGAGACTGAAGTGGTTACTTCATCAGAGAAAATGCTATAGAAACTTTATTGGTTGTATCACCATTGTCTCAAGTAATAAGTATATTAGACACAAGTTGCTTCCTTTAAAAGCTACATGAAATCACCAGGTATCAAGATCAATTTAAAACAAAATCTAATTTTACAGTAAATTCCCACGTTTTATGCCAGGCCATTCCAAAGCAAATTAAGGATGTTTTTGGCTGCCTCAACTACCAGTCACTTTAACTGGATAACCCTGGATTCGCACACTAGTTGAGAAAGCATTTTCTTTTTTCCCTCCAGTCCATGCAAAAATGAACAGAGATGGTACAGGTCGTCCATATTTAGGGGAAGCCTTGTTTAGCAACTCTCCACAGTTATGATGGAAAAGGAACTTTGCAACGATCTTCACATTTACAACCTTCACAAGTTTGAAAGACCTGCAACAAGCTTCTCCTGGTGGATCTGATGGGATGGGTAGATGTAGTCAGAGAGAAGGCAGTCTCTTAAATATCCTGGTTCCATGCCATGTATGTAAGCTAGAATACAGAGGAGTACACAAGCAATTGACATGGTGGGAGGACTCAGTAACCTCAGTAACCTGCTGTGTAACTTTGATAACAGTGGAAGTTCTTCATGGGCTTATCTTTGTCAGTAAGGCCATGTGTAAATGGGTGAAATTAAGAATAATGGAAAGTGACAGTAGATAGAACTCTGTAAATATAAATAAAGTCAAGCTACCATAAAAGAAGTCTAAATTCCAACTGGGACAAGAAGCCAGAAAATCAGTTTGGTTTAGTATAAAGGCACCAGGTTAGAAACCAGAAGACTGTGAGTTCTAGTCTTACCTTAGGCATGAAAGCCGGCCACATGATCTTGGGCCAGACATTCTCTCTCAGCTCATCTCACCTCAGAGTTATTGAGGGAAAACAGGAGGAGGCAAGAGTATTAGGTATGTTTGCTGCCTTGAATTATTTATAAAAATAATAAAGTTGGGATAAAAAAATCTACAAAACAATGCAGGGGCATATTATTTCTTTATTATTATTAAGAAAAATGCAGGTCGAGGCCGAAATGTTAAAACAAGTCTGAACCCCAGATCAGAATGTTTGAGGACGATTCCTAAACCATTATGCTACTTTCTCAGATGACTAAATAAGTTCTTACAAAGAAGAATAGGTTCATAAATGAAGAAAAAATGCCATATGCGGGAAAAAATTCAAAAGAGACGAAAAGAGCAGAAAACAAGATGGAAAGAAGAGACCACAAGTAACTAAAAATGGCCTACTGTTTCTCTATTGACTACAGCAAGATTTTTGAATGTGTAGATCATAACAGGATATGGCACATACTAAGGCTAATGGGTGTGCCACAGCATTTCGTTATTATTCTAGAAATATATCAGTATTCAATTGGCGGGACAATTTATGTGTATCTTTTTCTTTTTTTTCCCACATTTTCTTTTTCTGTCTTGTCCTGTCTTTTAACATTTTGAATTAAAAAAATTGGAAAAGAAAAGAACTGTAAGAACTGACAATTATTCTGAACAGAAAAGTGAGATAAGAACACATGCTATTCTCATTTCAGTTTAACTAAATTTATTATAAGAACGGCAGAATTAAAGAAATAACAGTTGAATTTAAAATACAAAGCTGTACTACTAACAAATGTGTGCTTAAACTTCTTTGTAAGCTGAAAAGGCCTTAAAATTATTAAACTAAAATTGGAAAGTAAAAATCTGTTACAACATCTGTTACAAAAGATGTCAGTCAACCTGCTTAGCAAACATGAAGCAAATAGTAAAGAAGTGAAGGTGTTACATGGTTTTGTGTTCTTTGGCACAATCAGAAGATAAAAATGGATAACGTGAAGGAGAATTCAGTCCCTGGGGAAAGCCATGAAAAACTTAGGTAAGTCATGAACAATAATATTTCCGCCTCCCTTGACGTAGGAAGAAGATTCTCATTGTACATGTTTGGTATTAATTGGCTGGATACCATCTTGTTTACGTATACTGTATGTTTTGCAATTTCTTTGATGCTGTGACCTGCTCAGACTTGTTTTGAAGTCAAAACGGTGCCTAGATTTAATAAAATAAATAAATATGGATATATATTTATGATAAGAAAGATCAAAACAGTGTTTCTGATGCTGGAAGCTGGTCTTGAATGAAAAAAAGGACAATGCCTCTGAATTTGGGTAGCGCAGTGGCTCAGCAGTTGAGAAGCTGGGCTGGCTGGTTGGAAAGCTGGCAGCCCAGATTCGAAACTCGAGCGCCATGCAACAGACTGAGCTCCCGTTGTCACCCCAGCTCCTGCCAACCTAGCAGTTCAGAACATTCAAATGCGAATAGATAAATAGGTACCATTTGGGTGGGAAGGTAACAGCGCTCCGTGATGACACGCTGGCCACAGGAATACAGAAATGTCTTCGGACAGTGCAGGCTCAACGGCCTTAATAGAGAGATAAGGACCACTCCCTATAGTTGGCAATGACTAGCCGAGTAAAATCTGCAAGAACTCCTTTACCTTTACCTTACCTCTGAATTACGAATTTGGAGGTAACTATTAACAGTAACATGGAGTACAAGAAAACCATTCAATATTTGAGATAACTATTGGCATAGAAACTCATATTTTGGATGTGTAATATCAGAATTCTATAATATCACCAGAATGAAAAGATAATTGATAAGGTGAATGGACAGTATCAAACAGTTATCCTTTGAATCGCAGGTTATGATGAGGACCATTTGTCTATATAGACACCAGGAGTTAAGTCTTACTTGATGACTTCAACTAACTATAGTAGCTGACCTGTGAACCTATTATTAAGTTGTTGATTCAACCTAATTTTCTGGGTTTGAATAACACAACAACACTCTGAGCCTTAAGCCAACCCCATAGGGTGGTTTTACACAGTATGATGTGCTAAAATATGCCAGCTAATTTGAGCTTCCAAAGACATCATTTTTACACTACCAATTTCAAGTTCTATTTTCTTGAGGAAGATTTGCCAGGGGAAAACAGAATAGATTCCAATAGAACCATCATACTGCTATGTGGTTCTTTCCCCATCGCTTGTTTTGTGCTGTCACTGTTGCTTTTTTTTTCTGTGCACCTGCTTGCCAGCGGAGCAGGAAAATGAAGCTTAAAGGATGTATTTGTGCTGCTGAACAGGTCCCCTCCCAGCTCTGCTCTGCATTTATTTTGCTATTACTTCCCTCTACCTGTATCTGGCTTCTGCTATAAGTATGGCTTTGCTTACACATGGCTTTGCCTGCAGTCAGCTGTTCTGCCCTCCACCCTGCTAATTAAATCCAACAAAGATCACATGTAGAATCTGTCACTATTTTATTTCACATTTTCATGTCAGTTTTAGCTCCTCCTTTCCCTTAAGCATTCCCTAGGTGCTTTTGATGTCCCTAGCATCATCTAGTTGCAGCTGATTCCCCTTCCCCTTCCCCACTGCATTCCTTGCCAATTACTATTTTATTCTTCTAGCCATTTTCCCATTTCGTCTCTCTCCCCTGCCCCTTCCCCCACCATTTAACTTCTTCCGATGGGCTTCCATTCTTTTCCTTCCAGCGTGTCCCTTAGGGAAATATTTTGCAACACGACCATCTTTGAAGAAGCGTAAGAAAATAGAAAGAAGGATCAGGCACCACCGAAGAGATGCAGAAGAAAAACAACTGATCAGAAGCTCTTAGTTGCTAAGCGGAAATAACAAGGTACCCGGAGCACAAATATCTGAACAGAATCCAAACCTAACCCAGATAAATAAGCTGTCCAGCAATAAAAGACATTCTTCCTAAGGATGAAGAAACCAACTGCGCTTCTTCCACAAAGAGGGAAGGGGAGGAAAAAAAAATCCTTCCTACTGTGCCTTAACTAAATAATGAAATCCACTATTGCACGATGAAGTGAAGGCTCCTGGCTTAGGTGGCTTATAAGGACTAATAAGCAAACAGATACACTAAGTAGCTAGAATAAGCAGCCATCGCCTAATGAAACCTGCCCACAGAGAACAGGTCTACTACTTTCATCCTCTTCTTTAGCGGCATCCGGACGGCCGCCGTGGGCAACAATCCCCCTAGACGAGACGACGCCGTCAGAACCTCCTAACACTCTGTACATGCTCGAGAGCACCCTTTTCACGAGTGCGCCCTTAACACCGTTTCTTGTCTGAGCCAAGGAACAGATGGTAGAGCGGAGCCACTAAAGGGGTGGTGGGGGGAGAGAAAGAGAGAAACCGGGGCTGAGGGAGGAGGAGGAGGGGATAAAAAAAACCCCAAATCTATTTGGGTCTACGAGACCCGTCCGGGAAAGTGAGATGCACGGCTGCGTCGCTCACCAGAAGAGCAGGTTGGCGCAGAGGAAGCTGGCCAGGGTGCAGAACGGCCTCTTCCAAGTCAGCGCCTCCATCACCGAGCAATATTCGGCAGCCGGCTGGGGCTCCACGCTCGGCTCTTCCTGCTTCTCCGCCGCTGCCTCCTCCTCCTTCTCCAACCGAGGCCCCTCCAGAGGGCTCGGCGGCAACATCACCTGCCCCTCCCCGCCATCCATGTCGCTTACAAAGCGCCCGACACCAGACAGAGGCGGCGAGCCAGCGGAGGCTTGGGAACATCCGGGCATAGCCAAGCCTCCTATTCCACCCCTTTTGCAAGGCAGGAGCCAATAGGAGCCTCGGATGGGGCTAGCAAGTCTTGGTGATTGGCTACCTTTGAGGGCAGGGTCTCCAAGCGTGCAAGAAAAGCAAAGCTAAAAGGGGGCGGGTGGAGCGGGGGCGGAGGAAGGTGAGGTCGGTCCGAGCGGCGTCCAAATAACGCGGGTGTATCTGTCTACATTCCGGCGTGTTGAGAAAGGGGAGGACCGAGGAAGATTTGGGGAGGGTATTATTGATTGGGTTGCTAAACTCACCGTCGAAGCCAGCGCTCCAGGCATTAGAAACACAAAGGAGAGAGCGAGTGGAGGCAGAAGATTTATTGCTTTGCCAGAAAAAAACAAAAAACAAAACAATAAATCACAGTAGTGTGACAACGCGGCAGCCAATAGTGGATATATTTTTTTCTGATTTAAACAGTCGATTCTTCTTTCCCATCTGTTTTCTTGTCCAAGTCCGTTTGCAAAAATCTCTCCACACAGATAAATTTTTACAAAAGTGCATATCACACGCACCAATATCCTCTTTTTTAAATATTTACCCTCGTTTTCTCAAAATATTTACTTAACATTTTCCTCACAGTATTGCTTATCAAGGGTTTGTCTTGATATTTGGTGTATCAAAGTTACTGGCAAAAGATTTCTACCCCCCCACCCCCACCCCCGGGATTGGGGAGAGCTGCCAGCTGGATTGCACTTACATCGATTTCACTCAGTGTTGTTTTCATCTTCATTCATGGGGGAATATCCGAGATGGGCAGAGAGGAGGAAGGCTAATTCTATCTTGTTATTGTTCTCAATTGTATGATAAACGCTCTTGATAAGTAAAACTACAAATAAGTCTATCAGGTAAAACATCTATTTTAATTTTGTCACAGAAAAATTTATCATTCTCTTCCTTCATTAAAATAATAGTATCCCGTGCTTAGTATCTGAGTAATCTTTACTGATTTCTAATATGATCTATCAGGATATGATCTAATATCATACAGCCATTGCCGTAAGATATCAAATGGCTGCAGAAAATTGAGATGACTACCAGTCAAATTATGAGATCAGTTCCAACCCAGTGGAGCTTACTTGAAAGCCCCTTTTATTTCTTACTGGAACGGCAGCTTTTTCCCATTAAGATAAAGTATTCTAATTAACATGAAGTTCTGAAAGTGTTTTTCTTTGCTCAAAAAGAAATAAAATCTATAATTAAAAGATTTATTTACAGAGTACCAAAGACACAGCTGAATCAAACTTTTTCAGGACCTGTAAATTTTATTAAAATGATAAATATAATTGTTAATTGTGTGATAGGTTACTACTTTTAAAAGGCTAAAAGAAAATTTGATTTTTGGAATAAGCCATCTGGAATCATTGAGAGTTGGATGGCCATCTAAATTTTCTTAAATGAATAAGCAAATCCAACATTTTGTGTCAGAATTTAAAGTTGCATCTAGAGAAAAAAAAGTGTATGTCCAAACATTTTCTTTATATTCAGCAATCAAAATTTGCAAAGACATTCTGTAGTGTGTGCCTTATTTACTTTGTGAAAAACATGCTATATACATGTTCCACTGATTGTATTTTAATCTCCATTTTGAACCATAGTATAAAACCTTTGATAACTCCATCTCTTTATTGTAATATTTCCATTTTCCACTTATAAGCAGAGATATATGACTTTTCTAAGAATGGAAATAGGGTTTGAAAGCTGAAAATGAAAAACTTGTGTTTTTTGAGCAAGTTTTTCCTTAATGCAAATTCAAGATTACTCCTCCACCTTTGGATCCAATCTATAGTACGTGACTTTACATTAAAGATTATAACCTGATACAGATATAGCTTAAATGGGAAACACTCATCTTTCTCTACCCCTTTAGTACTATGAGTGCCAAATGTACCCTTCATAACTTTTGTATATCTTTTAATCTTAAATAAACATGTTATCTTTCTCAGTTGCTATCTAAATTGTTGACTTTGGTAAGATAGGACTTTCTTGGGGACCACTTATATAAAAACTCACTTCCAACAAGCATGAAAAAATTTAAATTTCCTGTTTTAGTATTACCTGTTAAAGTAGCAATTAAATTGTTATCAGAATATTTCAGGGGGAGCCAGAGAATGCTGATCTCCCACTCCAAATAAAGCATCCTTCCATTATGATTATTTTAAGATGGTCTATTTCTCAACCCTACAGAAAATTCTGGAATCTAAAGCCCAGATTATAAACAGTTTGATATGCGTAATTGTGCCAGTTACTAAATGCTGTTAAATGACTGGGATATAGATTTTTTTTGAACATCTCATTTAAATCATTTGGTGATTTCTTGACTAGTCTATTGCAATGTATTAGTGGATCTATTCTTGGGATATTTCTTGTACTACTTTTCCAGAAACCAATAGTTTTGTTGACACAAGGGGAAAAAAAGACCACAGCTATAACTATACATTAATTTAGCACTTGCCTCATATGGATCCAGTGAAAAGGAGAAAGAGCTGTGTATTGTAAGCACCTCCAAATCGCAGTTAATTCTTGTAGATGTTAAAGGAATATAGGATAAACTAAAACACCACCAAAATGCCACAAAATTGAATAAAATACCTTTAAATCAAAGAAGAATGTTCTTGGACTATCTTCTGAATATGGGATTCCAAATATATTCAGACTGTTCTCCCTATGACTTAGTAACCTGCCTTGATGAGTGCCATGATTCATAACATTGAAAATTATCTGAGAGGTCCAGATGGTTCAATAGAATGATGTTCTTCCTATGTCTTCCATAAAGGGCTAATCCCTGATTGAAATGCTCTAGAAAAGAAATGTAATTCAATATGCCCATATCTGATCAGCCATCACAATTCAAGTATCTTGTCCAGCAAAAGAAAACTGGCCACTTGTTAATCAATCAAGACTTCTAGATCTATTTATGTTGCTTTCAGCACTTCTAGACTTAGCCTCTTTTAATCAGGTGAAGTGGATTGTGCCCTTGTTCTGTTCCCAAAAATGTCTCCCCAAAGACTCTGGTGCCTTGAAAAATAGGTTTTCTTATAAAATTTCTAGAGATAAAATTTCCTTCAACAGGGTAGGATGACAAGGTATTCTCTCCAAACTGTGTTAATCCTGAAAAAAACAGAATGGGGAGAATATCTATTTCTAGCATTCTTAAACACACACACCTCTGCCTTCAAAGAAAGAAGTCGTAGTATTTTTCCCCAAAGCCCTAAAGGTGGACCTAATTTGTAATGTTCAGGTGGCTAAGGCTATCTTTCCATCTTTCTTTCCTGTTTACAAGGGGAGACGTGAGAGAGATGTAAATGATGTTTATAAAGCATTTCATGTAAAGACTTGGGAGGGCATATATGATAGTCCTTTCCACAGTTAATTTCTCAAACCTGACATAAATGTGTTTTAATACTGTGTGCACATTCATATTATTTGTTGAGATTTTTACTGTTATTCATGTGTTGTATATTACTTTTTGTTACTGTTGGCTGTCTTTAACTCAGAGGCTGAACTTTTTAGCTTGGTTTTTATTTACTATTGTTTTATTTTGTATTTTATTTAGTGTATTGCATAAAGAACAGTAGTTATGGGACAAAATAAAAGCAAATAACTGTTGACTCCATTGCTAATGACTGTATCAACTATTGAGTTATCAGGTACAGAAGAGAAATGTGTGTGCATAGTTTGTATCATTTCGTTGGACTACTGTTACTGTCTTGAGGATTTTGCCGTTTTGAGTTTTCTGTAAGATGTTTTACTACTGTAAATCACATCAAGTATCCTGTACTATAGAAAAACAGGACATGGAACTGAAGCTTTAAAAAACCTCCTAATACCGTATATATATTGGAAGCCACTATGACTGGAAGAAGGTGAAGAATTATGTACTAATTTAATCATATGTAGAATATATGTATTAGCTTCCTCAACCTGACATCAAATCAGGTTTCTTTTACAGAAAGTTTCACAATTAGTAAACAGTAAACCCAGCAGACAAAAATTCCACGAAAGCAATGCTTTTAAAATAAATGTTTACTATTTTTAAAAACAGCCTCATAGACTGAAGACAAATGATTGAATATTGTGCTGGTAATGGCATTTCCATATTACGGGTAGTCTATAAATACAATTTATTTCAACTACATGAATTAAATACAGCAGTACAGAAACATAGATGTGTTATGTATATGTACCAAAGGGCGAAAAAATATCTCTGAAAGAAAGTACAAAAATTGCTATGAAAAATTTGCCAAATTTGTAAATAAAGCTAGCCTAATAAAAGACATTCTACCATTGAGACAATTATAGCTCTGAATTATTAAAATATACAGAAAGACTGTTTACACCATTGCACATTATTATTCCCTTTTAATTTTAAAAGTGTATGAAACATGGAATAGTTAGCAGAATTGACCTGAATTGTATCCATGCACACGTACGAAAGGTTGTGGGAGAGGGGGAAAATACAACATTGCCCAGTAAAGTCCGTAAAGAAAGCTGCCTGCAGCATTCCAACACAAAATTTTCTTTTTCATGAATGAACCAGCCAGTTAGTGCAAAAATGGCCGTATTACGTTCTCTTTACTATCCTAAGTGGTTTATTCAGATACACGACCCCTTTACTAATATAGCATAGGTCGATGCAGTTGGGCTTACACGTTTTAAGGCACTTCTTACTGCTCAGAAGACAGTGTATTAAGGCATGGAGTATGTTATTCTAGAGGTAAAAAAAATGTTTTCGTGGATTGATGTTCATAAGCACATGTTGAGTATGGGAATATGAAAGCACTTTATAAGCTTGTTCCAATTCTCCTGGAAGAGGTGCTGATCACCATTTTTGGAGAAAGCGTAGACATGTTCCAACAGCGAGGGCCAAACAAGACAGATTCTCTGACTTCACCTGCAGCTGCTTTGACTTCCGTGACTACTCACTGATCGAGATGTGCTGTAACGTTTTTTCACAATCATGCTAATATAGGCTTTCATCAGTTTGGCAATATCAATGACCTACACAAAGATAATCAAAGCAAAATCGATTAGCGCACATTTCGACTTACTGTCTTTGTTGTGAAGCACATGCAGTGCAAATATAAAATTATACGTCTGCAATCTCACACAGACCAGGAAAACCTGAAGCACATTTTTGTTAAATTGGCCCTTAATTAATTATACGATTTAATAGAAGCAATTTGGGCTAAAGTGAAAACTAAATCTATTCATATTTTTTTAAAAAAACAAGAAACTGGTAGCTTTTTATTTAAACAGATATATTGAATGAAATACCTATTTCAGGTATCCCCAACTCCAGGGCCACAGAGTCCAATACTGGTACGTGGCCTGTTGGACCTGGGCTGTATAGCTAGAGGTGAGTAGTAGGGGAACTGAACAAAAACAAAGCCATCCTTCCCGCGGCCAGTGGAAAAATTGTCTTCCACAAAACCGATCCTTGGGCACCACATTTTGGGCACCACTGAACTATTGGGTTATAAGAAGCCAGGAAATTGCATATGCAGTTAAAATGATAGTGAAAAGGGGAGCAATACGCTTAAGCTATCATGTTTGAATTTTAATGGAATAAATGATTTTGCAAAATTCTTGTTCAATTCTGATTTTCTCTCACCTCACTGGTTCCAAAAAGCAGTTCTCTGTCATCCACCACAATCTTGTACACATTAGCAAGTGGAGCTCCAAAGGAGAGAATATGTTCATACTGAAATACTTCCAATGGTCTTCCGTCTCCACGCTTGTATACAGAAACTGCCTCTGCATTAACGCCCAACCAAAGCTCTTGAGGAAATCCTCCTTCTTTACACTAAGAAAAGAAACAAAATAACATAAAGATGAATGGTGGAAACAGTATATATGATTGCTTCTCCTTGTTACAACTGTTCAAATAAATTTGGAATGATTACTTTATCAGTTTCTGTATTAGTTTTCAACATACATCTTCCCCAATACTTTCTCATAGTCTTATATTTTGTTTAATGAGTCAATTGCTTAATTCTGTTTACACAACGTTAAACGGTTGAAAATGTTTACACAACGTTACTCCAAAAAGGAATTGAGTAATGGGTATGTATGTATGTATTACACAACAAAACCTTATATGATTAACATCCCTTGAACATTTGCTTATTAAAAAACACCTTATAAAATCCCAGGCATGGAACATATCAAAAGACTATTTCCTTTAAAGTTAGATTTCTTAAACCTAAAACTTTCCTAATATCTGGATGTCAATATTAATCCAAAAGAGCCCAAAATGGTTGAACTGAACATATGGGAAAATGGCAATTAAGATGGGGTATGACCAGGGGTGGGATTCAAAATTTTTAACAATTGGTTCTGTGGGCGTGGCTTAGGTGGTGGACGTGGCTTGGTGATCATGTGACTGGGTGGACATGGCTTGGTGGTCATGTTATTGGCTGGGTGTGGCCAACTCAATCACTCACATCGAGGCACGCATCTCCTCGCCTGGCCTCTCCTGACTGTGGGGATGCTGCAACAGTCTTAAGTGTGAAAAACGGTCATAAGTCACTTTTTTCAGTGCTATTGTAACTTTGAATGGTCACTCCACACAAACAAAGTACCAGCAAAGGAAGGGGAAAAAACTTCCAGAGACGTTCCTGAGACAGGAAGTCTAGTCCTGCCAAGAATGTAACAAGGGTTAATGGAGAGGCAGTTTCTGTAAGCAACACCAGAATGTTTCCTTCCTGCCTTCCTTATAGGATTAGGCCAGTAATTTCTTCTAACAACCGGTTCTCCAAACTGCTTAGAATGTTAACAACTGGTTCTAGCGAATAGGTGTGAACTGGGAGAATCCCACCTCTGGGTATGACTATGCGTGAATGAGTGATTTTGAATTGCTGCTCACTGCATGTACACTGCTCAAAAAAATAAAGGGAACACTTAAACAACACAATGTAACTCCAAGTCAATCACACTTCTGTGAAATCAAACTGTCCACTTAGGTAGCAACACTGATTGACAATCAATTTCACATGCTGTTGTGCAAATGGAATAGACAACAGGTGGAGTGGTTCTGCAGGTGGTGACCACAGACCACTACTCAGTTCCTACGCTTTCTGGCTGATGGTTTGGTCACTTTTGAATGCTGGCGGTGCTTTCACTCTAGTGGTAGCATGAGACGGAGTCTACAACCCACACAAGTAGCTCAGGAAGTGCAGCTCATTCAGGATGGCACATCATTGTGAGCTGTGGCAAGAAGGTTTGCTGTGTCTGTCAGCGTAGTGTCCAGAGCATGGAGGCACTACCAGGAGACAGGTCAGTACATCAGGAGACGTGGAAGAGGCCGTAGGAGGGCAACAACCCAGCATCAGGACTGCTACCTCCACCTTTGTGCAAGGAGGGACAGGAGGAGCACTGCCAGAGCCCTGCAAAATGACCTCCAGTGGGCCACAAATGTGCATGTGGCTGCTCAAACGGTCAGAAACAGACTTCATGAGGGTGGTATGAGGGCCCGACGTCCACAGGTGGGGGTTGTGCTTACAGCCCAACACCGTGCAGGACGTTTGGCATTTGCCAGAGAACACCAAGATTGGCAAATTCTCCACTGGCGCCCTGTGCTCTTCACAGATGAAAGCAGATTCACACTGAGCACATTTGACAGACGTGACAGGGTCTGCAGACGCCGTGGAGAATGTTCTGCTGCCTGCAACATCCTCCAGCATGACCGGTTTGGCAGTGGGTCAGTAATGGTGTGGGGTGGCATTTCTTTAGGGGGCCGCACAGCCTTCCATGTGCTCGCCAGAGGTAGCCTGACTGCCATAAGGTACCGAGATCCTCAGACCCTTGTGAGACCATATGCTGGTGCGGTTGGCCCTGGGTTCCTCCTAATGCACAATAATGCTAGACCTCATGTGGCTGGAGTGTGTCAGCAGTTCCTGCAAGACGAAGGCATTGATGCTATGGACTGGCCCGCCCGTTCCCCAGACCTGAATCCAATTGAGCACATCTGGGACATCATGTCTCGCTCCATCCACCAACACCACACTGCACCACAGACTGTCCAGGAGTTGGGGGATGCTTTAGTCCAGGTGTGGGAGATCCCTCAGGAGGCCATCCGCCACCTCATTAGGAGCATGCCCAAGTGTTGTAGAGAGGTCATACATGCATGTGGAGGCCACACACACTACTGAGCCTCATTTTGACTTGTTTTAAGGACATTACATCAAAGTTGGATCAGCCTGTAGTGTTTTTTTCCACTTTAATTTTGAGTGTAACTCCAAATCCAGACCTCCATGGGTTGCTAAATTTGATTAACATTGATATTTTTGTGTGATTTTGTTGTCAGCACATTCAACTATGTAATGAACAAAGTATTTAATAAGAATATTTCATTCATTCAGATCTAGGATGTCTTATTTTTGTGTTCCCTTTATTTTTTTGAGCAGTGTATATACTGATTGCATCTGGATTTATTTCCAAAATGGAGATGTAGAGTGTGCAGAGGTATGAGTACAGCACTTGTCTGCTATACTCTTTAAAGCAGCCACTTATTTTTCCAGGATTAAGTGCTAGGTACAGAAGGTAGCTGTGTAATCCCAAGAAAGAATGGGGATGCTTTATTAAAGCAGGGGTCTCCAACCTTGGCAACTTTAAGACTTGTGGACTTCAACTCCCAGAATTCCTCAGTCAGCTTTGCTGGGTGTTGAAGTCCACAAGTTTTAAAGTTGTCAAGGTTGGAAATTCTGCTTTAAAGAGTTGCAGACTGGTGCTATTATGCTGCCATGCGCTCCAAAACACTGTTTCATTGATACACAATAATCCATTTTAAGGCTGTTTGAGCATCAGTAGATTTCTTTCTTTCCTTATTTGCCAGTGAGATTACATGGAGCTCTCGCTTAATGACCCTAATTGGGACAAGCAGCTCTTATCACTAAGTGAAGAGGCAGTTAAACGAAACATCACATAATGGCCCTGCTTAGCGCCAGCAGTTCCAGCATCCCAGTTGCAGTTATTAAAAGAGACATCACAGGAACATAACATGCAACTTCCTGTTGGCTTTCCTTTTGACTCTGCTTGCAAAAGTCATAAATGGTAATAACATGACCATGGACGCTATAACTGTTGTAAATGTGCGACAGTTGCCAAGCACCTGAATTGAGATTATGTGACCATGGGGACCCTGTGAAGATTGTAAGGTTCAAGAACCAGCTCTAGGTCACTTTTTGCAGAGCTGTCATAATTTGAACAATCACTAAACAAACATTGTTAAGTGAGGACTATCAGTGCTGTCACCTTGTTACCAAAAACGCTGATGATTCCTTGAAGCAGAAAAATAGTTATTCCCTGTGGTATGCTCCCTTCCTCTCTTTCACATGAAAAGTTGCTATCATCTACTAATGTCCTTTTCTCAGTTTTGTATTAAAATTCCCCCATCCATACTAGCAAAACAGTTCAGGAGAAGAGGGAATGCAGAAATTATAATGCAGAAATTTTAAGTGCTGCCTGCTACACATTATAATACTTAGTTATATCCTCTTAATCCATGATTATATGGTGGAAAGTTGGCATGCTCACCTCTACATCAAAGAGCGTTGACCCATAGCCAGGCCATTCCTTAATTAAATTCATGTACTTTGCCATTGCTTGCTCTTGAGTCATTCCCTGCATTTTTTTCCATTTATCAAGCATACTAGTCCTGGCTGCAGAGATCTCTTCCCTAATCCACATATTAAGCATCTGATCCTCTTCCATCTTCTGCTTAGTAATAGAACTGCTCCGGAAACTCCTCCTTAGAGTCCCTTCCAGAAAGTTGTTCCGCTTCCTCTCAAACCTCTCTGTTGGCACAAAAATTTTAGTGGATTGAACAATACGAGACTTCAGCCTCTGCAAGGGGTAGACATCTTCCATTTCTGGTACTGTAACATTAGATGAAGAATAGTCCCCTTGTAAATATTGGAGTCGCAAGGCGGCAAGGACCTGGAGGGTTTCTTCAGGAGCTGGGAAATGGCCCTGAATCATGGCTTCATGTGCCTAATAAAAAGAAAAACAGTATTTTTTTTAGGAATATATGTCATAACATTTTGAATTCTAAATCTGCTTCTGTAGACTAGTGACCAAGAGATTGATAAATGAACTAGACCTGCCAGGAATTCATCAACTGCCAGGAACTCATCAACTGATTATCAACTAAACAGCAACATTCTGCCTGGCCTGGAGTTATCAATTGGAATACTTGTTTTAGTGGATTGTTGTAAATATTACAGAAAGATAAGCAGACAGTCAGTTTGGTGTATTAGTTAAGATGCTAGGCTAGAAACCAGAAGACTGAATTTTAGTCCTGCCCTAATGCTGGCTGTGTTATTTTGGGCCAGTCACTCTCTCTCAACCTACAGCATCAGGCTTGGGCAACAAGCTGGTTGGTCAAGTCATGTTGCAACCAATGGATCAACAGTCGGTTGATCCCAAAAAACTGGATCTTGCACTTGTGAGAAAACACTAAAAAGAAAATAAATTATAGTAAGATAAGTGGTGTGAAGGACTTTAAAGTGCTTAAGGTGCAATGTGTTTTTATATTTTTCAAATTGGCTAGAGAGTCTGGAGTTTAAATAGCACTGCTCTCAAGAGATCAGAAACTACCAAAAATAGGAAATGGCATTTGAGAAAAGAAAAAGTAATCAGCACTAGCAACAATTGATCCAAACTATTCCTTGTCAGTTGCAAATTACGTATCCAGTGACAGCTAAGGGGGAGTGCAACCTCATCCCAAATAGGTCTTATCTCCAACCTACATCTAGGTTTCTTCTTGTCTGTGCCTTGTCTGGATTTAATTGTAGCTTTTTCTCCCACATCAAGTCCATTGCTGAAATTGGGTAATGTTCAATATTGCCAATTGTTTAATTGGAGTTAGCCAGTAAGATGGAGTACAGTGATGCCTTCCCAGATTGACTGTACTCCTGCCAAAGCTCTTAATGACAAACAGTATGTCTGGATACTTGCCTTGGTCTATCTTATTATAGGATAACATCTGGGGGGAAAAACAAATGTAAGCATCATTTGCTAATACTGTAACTTCTTTGTATTTTCCTCGACTAATTTGATCGAAATGGCACTATATATTATTCCATGTGCCAGTGTGTATAATACGCACGCACGCACACATACACACACACACAGAGTACATCTTTGTCTAATAAAACTCCTTTTTTTACCTGCTCAAACATAAATGCAAATTCCACACTATCTTTTGGTACATGCTCAATGTCTAGGAAGCAGTAGAGTTTGAAATAAAATTTCCATGCTGCATGGTCACCTTCTGAAGTGGCACCAATCCTGGAATGACAACAACAACAACAACAATTGTTATTACTTGTATTCTCATGACTTAGTAATAGAATTAAAAACTATTTTACCTCTGGTTAAATCTATATAATCCAAACCGGGATGAGCTTTGCCTCATTTTAAAGCAGTGTGTGTGCTGTACCATTTTCAGTCAATCACATTTGATTTGTCTCAACAGGAGGGGTTAATTAAATTAATGAAGAAGCAAAAGCTTTCTAATAGGGCCACATCCGATTTTTAGTTTATTGTTCCTTTAGTCAGCCAAAGTTTGACACTGCAGTTGGAAGTTTATTTTTAATACTGGTTAATAAATATTTTGAATACTGGTTAATAACAGTAACAATGATAGTTAGGTTCATATATAAGATGATGTTTTTGCTGATTCATTGTGTGAAAATTTAAGACACATAATTGCACAGTACTTATAAATAAGTTGCTCATAACAGCAACCTTATTTCTAAACAATTCTGGTTTATCATTACATTCAAGCACAACTTAGTAAAACAATAAAAGCCTTCATATAATATCAGTGTGTATGAAGGCAATATTTTTATATACAAGGTTTTCTTACTTTAGAGTATGATAAAAAAAAGGCTGTGAATGCTTTAAAAATGTTTTTAAAGAGATACTTTTTTACATGGCATGATTGCAGTACATTTTTGCTATTTACTTAAACAGCTCAACATGGTTTGGGCTTTTTTGTGAACCTCATAATTCTTAAAATTACGTCACTGTTTTTCAGGGTTGCATGGAAACCTGAAAAATCTTGAGATTCTTTACTGAATGCAGGGAATTGCTGTAACTGCACAAGGTCTAAATCAATCTTTACAAGGAGTTAATAACTAAAAGCTCGAGAGAAAATAAATGCATACTGACTGATTAGATTTTAGATTAGATTAACAGAGTTGGAAGGGACCTTGTAGGTCATCTAGTCCAATCCCCCACCCAAGCAGGAGACCTTACACCATTTCTGACAAATAGCAGTCCAATCTCTTCTTGAAAGGGATTAAAATCTGAAGTATGTCTGAATGGCCCATCAATCTAGCATAAAACATAACAATGTTTTTCAAAAGTTCTTGTTCCAATCACTAGTTTTTGTTCCAATATTAGTGACAACAGTGGAGATGTAACCAGCAAACAAAAAGTTCAGTTCTATAATATTGGTTGGTTGTGCTTCTATAAATACACTACTTGTGAGAAGCCCCCTCCCCCTTAACAATCCTGAATGAGCAAAATGAGGAGATGGGAAGAAATTTTTGGAGAGTAGAAATGCAGTGGGTCATAAAAGCATCCTTTGGCAGAGGGGAGAGGAAGGTTATCAACACAAGTAAGAGACATTTGGAAAGCTGTTAGGAGAAATATGAATTGCCTGTTTATGATCAGTGACACACTTACTTTTCAAACTTTGCCAAGACATCAGCCACAACAGTTCTACTTTCAATGGCTTTATTGGTAATTCCATTGTATTCAAACAAGGCAAACATATTTCTGCTGTCTTCCATGCCCAAACCTCGAATTAATTTTTCAACAACCTAGAAGATAAAATAAAAAGACTGATCTTAATTCTTTCCCTTCCTTGACATTTTGTATCAGGTTTGCAGCTGTTTCTTTTTTAACCAAAGGTTGTTGTGATATAAATTTTACAGTTTTTAATTGACAAATATGTGGACAATTGTTAACATTTACACAAAACCAGATTTACCTTTTCTTCTCAGGAATGTTCTGAATTTGAATACTAGAAATACTTTTGTAAGAATACAAGATCATTTGTAAGAAAAGGTCATGTATATAGTTATTCCATTAAAATTATACAGTTTAGTATGTTGCATAATGATAAATCAATACAATAATATACTGTAGTATTACAAATACAACTAGTTCCACAGTTTTAAACTATTCCTGCTTTCTAAACTATTACTGATATTTGTATTATTTAGTTCTGTGAGCTAATATAAATCAATCTGTTAATATGTTCACAATGAAAGATAGGCATAAAACATGCCATTGTACAGTTGTTCTTTAAAAACATCCTATATTTTATAAAAAGTTGGACAACCTACTTACTCATTAGTAAATTACTCAGACTAGGTCAATTTCACAATCTCTATTATTCCACCTTATTTTACATACTCCAAGAATACATATTGGGAAGATATACCTATTTCCAAAATGTCTAGAAATACAACAAAGTTTTTTTTCCTATTTCACAAGGAGAACTTGTCATGCGTCGGTACATTTTTGCATATTAATGAACGCCCAATATTATACAATGTGGATCTCAAAATTAATCTTTATCAACTCTTTTTGTGTGTGTGCAAAACTACTCACCTCACCAGCAGTGGTGTGAGAGTTAATTGTGATTTTACAGGAACCTCCTCCATGACAGTAGACGGTAGATGTCATTTCCTGTCTGTTGATCAAAGTTTCAATTTCATCCCTGGATGGCACAAATTCTCTGCCTTTGGTTTTTTTAAGGGATTCATAAATAAACAAGGCATATTTTGCCATTTCTGTGCCTGGGAATTGATCATGGATTCTGTGGGAGAAACATTAAACTCCATTTTCTTATTGCATTTAGTCTTTTCCCGTTATATGCATTTGTGCTCTGAGGTTGCTGATCACTCCTTTCAAAACCATGATTCCCTTCTTAAGGCTTCCTTAGGGCAGGTTACTTCCTTAGCAATCTCTCATTACCTTTTCCAAACTTGCTCAGGTTTGAGGTCTCCTCATCTGAATTTGTTTCCGCTGTAGTGTAGTTGGGCCAATAAGGCAGGGTAAATTTAGCCTACTTGCATGTCCCTACTGATTTTTCACTGGGGTGTTTGAGTATATCTGCCCCTTCCTTCCTAGATATGAAATGAATTCTGAGGCAAACCATGGATCTATTATTGTTTTCCTAATAATTCTCTTTACAAGTAGTCCTTAACTTATGATTGATTGCTTAGTGACTGTTCAGAGTTACAATGAACCTCCTTAAGGGTACTTATGACCTGATTCCGAAGTTCCAATGGCTACTTCCTGGTGGCCATGTGACTGCATGCTGGGCACTTGGCAACCAACTTGCATTTATGACCATTTGCAGCATATCTCACAGTTGCGTAACCATGTTTTATGACGTTGTTGCCGAAACCTGGAATTGACTTTTCAGCAAAACCAGCCCATCATAGTGAAGAAATCGTTCGCTTAATGACCATGGCAAAAAAAGTTATAAGATTGAGTGAGTCACATGGGTGATCTGCCACACCAACATTACAACTTATGACTGTAATGGGAAGGCTCCATTATGGTTGTAGGTTGTGGACTTACATATCGATTTATCCCAAAAGGACCTAGATGCCAGGATGATATGTATAATAGCGTAGAAACTACGTTTTATCCACCAAAGGAGCCCTTCAAACTACCAATCTTTATTATCTTAGTTCAGCTTACCTTTTAAGATGGAATTTCAAGTATTTGAGAATACTACGGCTTGGCAAAAACATGCAGCTCATGCAAGTGAGGATCTGCCAGCTATATAGATTGCCAAGGCTCCCTTTGTTAGGCACTTTGCAGGTCTGCTTGATGAGCTGACAGTATAATTCATCACGCAGGGGCCGTAAATCATGTCCTGTCTGGAGAATACCCTGAATAATGGGAATGGGATCTGGTACAGACTCCAGTTGCTGCAGAGAATTAAATATTTTGATAGCTTCGTCCTGCAGAGTTGTGTAGCCTTTGTCTCTTAGTACTAGAAGAAAAAGAAAGAAACATGCAAATGTACCTTAAGTTGAACAGAGACCAACTAAGATATTTCAAAGCATGAAAAGAACTACAGGCAGTCCTCGACTTACAATAATTCATTTAGTGACCTTTCGATGTTACAACAGCACTGAAAAAGTGACTTATGACCATTTTTTCACTCTTACAACTGATGCAGCATCTCCATGATCATGAGATCAAAATTCAATCCCCTCATATTTGCAGTGTCCCGGGGTCTTGTAATCACCTTCTGCGACCTTCTGATAAGCAAAGTCAATGGGGAAGCCAGATTCACTTAACGACCGTGTTACTAACTTAACAAGTTCAGTGATTCACTTAACAAATGCGGCAAGAAAGGTCCCAAAATGGGGCAAAACTCACTTAACAAATGTCTCGCTTGGCAACAGAAATTTTGGGCTCAATTGTGGTTGAATGTCAAAGACTACCTGAAGTAATATTCAAACTCAGAACTTACAGAAATTAAGTTTTCTTAATAATTTATAAGAATTTAACAGTTATTTCTTCACTAAATGATACATTTTGAAGGAAAAAAAGGCTTTTAAAAAACATTTTATGGTTGTCCTTCTTTGGAATTGAATCCTGAGTGGTTCTGGACATCATTCCAAGCTAATAAAACTAATTTCCCTTTATAGGAAAAGTAACATTTCAAAAGTCAAGTTGTTAGCTATTTCTCAATTTCAGTTTTCCTGAATCCAGCTGAAATCTTTGTGAGGATTATGAGTGAATCATCTTTGAAACAGTTGGATATTAGGTATTACCTTTCCCCAAATTTATTATCAGCCTAGAAATTGGAAATATGAAATAACCTGGAAAATTAATAAAAGAACCACTGCAATGAGTATGTGTGAAATACTCTCTGCACCGTTTAAACACTCTTTATCATGCTGATAGCAAGACTCCAGAAGATGCCTTATCAATGGGCTATGCAAATGAGTTTAAGACCTCTTGAGAGTGTGTGCATGGCAAAGGTGCTTATTCAGAAGGGGGCTTCTGCCATAACAGACCGGCATACCTTAAAGGCTTCTTAATCAAAACTTACTGTTCAGATTGATGTCTCCATAAGGAAGGGGTAATAGTGGGGAATGCAACGGATGCTGCGTGTAACGAAGAATTGGGTTCCTCTTATAGATCTGTTCAACAACTTCAGGGTTCAGGCAATTCTCCTATATAAATGTGTAAAAAGGATTACTAACAGTCAGGTAAGAAATTATAAAATTATAAATGACTGTGAAAGACCAGCAGTAAACCAAATTATGTAAAAATACTAAAAGGGAAAATAGAAATAGCAATTAGACTTATATACTACTTCACAGTGCTTTACAGCCCCCTCTAAGCATTTTAAAGAGTCAGCATATTACCCCCAACAATCTGGGTTCTCATTTTGCCAACCTCGGAAGGATGGAAGACGGAGTCAACCTTGGGCCAGTGAGAATCCAACCGCCAAAGTGCTGGCAACTGGCAGTCAGAAGAATTAGCTTGCAATACTGCATTCTAACCACTGTGCCACCATGGCTCTTGCCAAATGACTGCTACAACGACCTGGCCTATCTTTAAATTCTGACCTTGAACTCATTCCTTATTATGAAATTACATCTAAACTGGCAGTGCACAAATATATATATATACAATTACAAAATGATCTGGAAATTTAAAAGCAGAGAAATACTACATGCAAGATGTATATTTAAACTGTTCCACAAGTTTTGGGGGGGAAATTTTCATAAGAGATATAAAATAGCTTGCCTTGACCTAGTGACCTCTAGATGGCATCACAGAATGATCAGTATAAAAAGGTAGAAAGACAAATGGTGTTAGTTGGGGTATCAGCAGCTGAACTACACTAGTAACAAGAATGACAAATCAGAAAAACAATCACTTCCATTCCTGAAAATTATGACATAAAAAGACTATATAATGCAGTAGATTGCCTTTCTCTAATGATACTTTCCACACTGAAAAACTACCTTGATGTCTTGAATGAGCTGCTGTGTGGGAGTATCGATTGCTGCTTTTGTGTCGATCACATTTTGGATTGCACTTGACCAGCGAGTGGCTTCATTCAGTAATTTGGTGTAAAGGCGGTAACAGTGCTTGCGTCCATACACAGTTACATTCCAATACCCTAAAGCAAGAACAGGTAAGTGAATATTTTGTTAATTCACTTTAGAATATGAGATCCCCTAAAGATGAAATAGCTGAATTAGACTGATTAAGCCCCCCCAAAAAAGGCAGCTATTATCTATTCTACTATGAGCTGTAAACCTGCAGTTCTCTTAACTAAGCAATCAAAATCCCACAGAGACAGTGTTTTCTGCCTATAGATTAGATGTGTACAATTCCAAAGTAATTTTTAGATTCTTAACAGTCATATTATTAGCTCTACAGACTTAAAATAAAAAAGCGTTCCTGAGGAATTAAGTACCTGTTTCTTTAAAGATTTTCTCATCAGGGGGCACAGCGGAGCAAAGGCTGTTCAGCACCAGGGTGCCCAACTTGAGGGCGTTCTTCTCTGAGCTCTTATAATAATCCAAGGAATTGTGTGTCAGAACAAACCAACGTTTCTTCAGTTTCAGTGATGACATTTTTGGACTGTTCTTTACTTCTTTATGTAACCATCCTAGACAGAAGAAGAAAAGGCACTTTCTGAGTTGAGCCTCTGGAAGTTACTGATGTCCAAAATAAATTGCCTACCTGTATATTCATGAAATTGCCTATACGAGTAAGAATGCTTGTTCTTGAATATGTTATAAGCGTGTTTGGCAAGATGCTGCCAGGCTCCAATACACTGAAGCAGATACAGTAGTAGCAAAACTTCTGTTAAACCACAAATACATCACTTGTTATGGGGTAGGGTTTTTTTTTGTAAGAGTGCAAGTTGCAGAACCATTATTATACCCCTACTTTACCTCTCTGAATTTAGTTACTGTTAAAAAAGACCTAGGGAGCAGAAACATAGCAGATCTTTGACTATGAACAGGCAAATTGGTATCAGAATTTTACCAATTATCATGTAAAAGAAGAAAAACTTATGCCATAGTCTTTCTCAAAACTAAGCAGATGTCGGACAACTAATCTCCTCTGGTTTAGGTGAGTTATTTTGCAGTGGTGAATTCCAGCTTATACAATTCATTTTCTGGCTATTTTTCAGATATTTCTTTTGATTTTAGTCTCTCAAGCTATAACAATAGATAAACTAAGTTTCCCAAATAGTCAATTTTAACTCAACCAATTGAAGGAAGCCAATTTGCTAATTGTGCAAGTACTGCCCGACCAGCTATATCTAGCTTGCAACTATCTAATTTTATTTTGGTATTATTTTTTGATATCCAAAATAATCTGATGCTGAAGATAAATATCTCATCCTGTTTTATGAAAAGGGTGGTTCTAAAGATCAACATGGAAAAATGATAAATCTTTGTCAATTTTATATCATTAAATTTTAACAACAAACAAAACTCTGTTCGTGTAGAAGATTTCTTTTTTGAGAAGTTCTTACCTCTCACTATGAATTCTTGACCTTCTACTCGAGTGTCCCCTTTGGATCGCTGTAGCAGAGTGATCCAATGATGCATCTCCTCTGGTGTATCGGCGTTGCAGTGTAGAACACGATTAGCAGTGATGATTACAAATGAATTGGGTCTATAAAGGAAAAATAAAGGAAGAAAATGCCTGTATAGTAAACATGGTTACTGTTTGAAATCATAACAAAGTCTATCTGATTTGTCATTGTAAGCCTTTCTCTCTGGTTTGTACTATGTAATGGGACAACGTTGAATCATTTTCTTCATCAAGTTGTTCTTAAAATCACATTACTTAGCAATTGGGCCCCACCCACAACTTAAGTTTTTTAAATATAAAGGCACTTGATATTTAAACTCTATACAAACTCTATTATTATCATAATGCACCTGATTGTAGTTGATACAATAGTGAGAGAATACCTATTTTGAACTAGTTATGACATGCAAATCTCCCACTGGCAGTACTAGATTTTTATGAAGTGATTGAACAATGAAACTGGAAAACTGAGACTCTAGCAGAAGAGTCCATACAAGACCATAAAAGATTCCCTAGAACAGAACATTTGACCTACCCTTGTCACACAGAATCTGCATAGAATTAATGTTAAAAGTCAACCTCTAGGATTAACTATCAAATTAAAAAATATCAAAAATACATAAACATTTTAGGTGTCATTAAAATGCAACATTATTAATAGTCTCTTAAAGTAATGTAAACTTGCTTGTGTAAAGACCAATTTTAAAAAGGTAGGAGAATACCTATTGCTGGGGAACAGCTTTCTTATCCCTTTGCTGGTCCCCCTAAAGTACTTGGAGACTACTGGAAAGATAACACTGCTGTCGATTGCCCCCCCAAATCTGATATAACCAGATTCGTCTATTGTTCTTGAATTATGTATTTTAACTGTTGCAATTATTTCTCCCATGTAACTTGGTTGCTGACTTGTAACTATTTAGGATATCAAGGAGGGAGGGGTTAAATCGGACATTAAAAAAAAAAAGATACGCTTCCTTTATAGATGGCAAACCTGCTTTGAGATGGAGTGGTGCTTCAAAAGCAGTTTAAGTTGTGCTAATAACAGCCCTCTCATATATCTCAACCCAACTACCAGTTCCAGTGTGTAGATCTCCTACATCAGAGTCCCCAGTTGTAGGGCACAAACCAATACCTGTCTGTGACCTATTAGAAATCAGGCTGCCCAGCTAGAGATGAGCGGTGAAGGAGTGGGCAAAACCAAACTAATCCCCCCACTGGTCCCTGGTACTGGTTGGGGATCATTGTCCTACATGATTAAATCCATAGCCAAGCAGCTTTACCCATTTCATTTTCCCTGGGGTGGGCTATGGAATTATAAATGGTATCAGTCTTCTTTCCGTCAATTTCTCAACTTACATAGTCTCAAGAACTAAGAAAAGTTGCTGAAATGTGTAATAGTTTAGAACGAAAGACTTAGTAATAATTATGAGCCCCAGAAGGGACAACTAAACTTACCGATCTGGACTATCCGATGCACAGACTGAATCAATCAGCCCTACATCTAGTGTGCCCTATGTAAAAAGAAATAAAACAAAAATATGGTGTTTATTGACCATGGAATAGACAGCACAAAATGGACAATGATTGAAAGTTGAAAGTATCCCCTATATGAGATACTGAAAACAAATACTGGTTACATGTGGTGTGGGAAAATTTATCTTGGTATGACTTGCATAGTTTGTAAGGCACAAAGTGTACCCTTTTTCAAGCTTCCTCTGAAAAAATAAACACTCTGCAAATAACAGATGATTACTGTAGTAATTTTTAGATCCCAACCTATATATATTCCTTGATATGCTGAATGGCACATTTTTAATGGTGCCAATCTCTTTTTGAAGTTTCTTGGATTATTTCTATTACCTCTAGGCCACTCTCAAGCTATTCAATTCATACCACAAAAACAGCCTGCCTGTGCATGTGGAGTGATGGCTACAATATTGATTACCAATTACTCTATTTGGCAAATGTGGCAAAGTTGCTTTATAAAGCAGGGAGAATCCATGACATAGTGAATGAACATGATTTCAGTCCTTCCAAAACCGGGCATCACAATGAAGGTAATGGAGAAGCCACCTTCCTAGCGTATAGCCAAATACAAAAGATGCTGCTCTAATACAACATTTTCACAAACAATTACATCCTTAAACATTTTTTAGTGCCAACAGAGTGACTTTTGTTCTTTCCTTACCATGGCATTCTGGGGATTGGCTTGCTCGTCGTGCATTTCTCTGATTTCCTGTTCTGTGGAAGTGAGAACTTGGCTCAGGACACTGAACCATTGACTGCAAAAAAATAAATAAATGTCAGTCTACTTTTTTTAATAGTACATTATTATTATTTAAATGAAACAAGACCTCTTTTATGATTTCTGGAAAGGAAGGCTCTTGCAAAGCCATGGAACATCAACATTAATCAACTTAAGAAAAAATATTTTAGTCATAAATACCAAATACAGATTCTGTAAATATGTAGCAGAAATTATTTCCCATTAGGAGAAGGCCAGGCTCTTTTATTATAAATGAATATCCTCTTCTGATTGGGACATCATTGAACATCATAGTTTGTATTTTGGTGGTTTTTTTTTTTTTTTTGCAAGACAGTTAAACCAGACATATCACTATTTCTAGAAATATGCTGCTATATTTTCAGCATTACTTTCATAATCAGGAACAATACTGCCCATGATAATTCTTTTGATTTAGTAAATACTGCATCATTTAAATCATGTTTTCATATTTTATGGTTAGGTGTATAATTGTTTATATTTTTGAAAAAAAAAAAATGAAACTATTAAAAACTGGAATTTGCTAAACGAAGAAATAATATTTTAAATAAAATGTCACTTACAAATTATCCAATTGACTCTATCTTAACATTTTTAAAATTTACTAATAAGTTCTCAGCTACTAATGTTACATTGCTGTCAACCTGTTTCCACACATATGGAAAATTTCCTTGAATTGTTTATACTCTCACATCTTTCTTCTCCTTGACTCTTTTAGTTTGTTTAGTTTCCGGCACTTAAATGCTTTTGTTTGGCCATTTCTATATTATTCTGTTTATATTTCCTGCAACTGAAAAGCCCCTGATGAATGTCACAACCTGCATTTTGAATGTCTACACTTCCTGGAACTAACATTTTCAGGGCATTAAGCAATTTAAGATCCCTTATAAAGATAAAATCTAATTCATAAACCAACACTGCACATGAATGAATGCATTTCCTCTAGAGTACACCATTCATCATATTATGCTATAGGTTATCTACCCAATATCTTGGCATTCAGAAAATGCTCTGTAACTTTCCATTAATTTTTCTCTATAAAATAGGCAACTTTCTGAGTGTTTACATGTATGTGAAAGATCACTGGGAAGTTGTGATGTCACAACCTTTTTTAAAAAGAACTTTTTGTCTCTGATTGGCAAACCAATCCCCATTTTCAGTCTCCAAGCTATCCTAGCTCTATCCTCATGGGCCAAAATTTTACATCTGAAATTTACCAGCAAAATGGTTAAATCTCAATGTGTTTGGGTAGTCTAGGTTAAAGCTGTCTTGAGGCTGTTTTTTTTTTTTTTAACATAGAAATCGTATAGTTGATCTAATTGGATTTCTATCTCCCAATTCCATGCTTATTTTGGGGGGGAAAAACAGAAGACTAAAAGCATACTATTAAAAATCAAGTATTTTACCTCTGAATTTACAATTTTGGGTTACTATAAATAAACTTAAGGGTCATATGCAGCTTCCAAAGTTGCTCACCCCTGTTTTATATAGACAAACTCCACTAATTCCTCTCTGCAGTTTTGCCATGTCTCCAATAACCTTTTTCTTCTTTGGATTACTAGATATAGTCAATGAAATGGGGCAATCTGTTTTTTATTAATCTGTCACATTCATTTGACATTTGTCTTTCAAAGCAAAGGCAACTTATATAAATATTACTTTCTCCTTGCTACAAGACAATGTGATTTGCCTAAGACCTCCCACTTTCACACACACACACACACACACACACACACACTTCACTTATTCACAGATCTGAAGGTGGCTTTTGGCTCACTAGAGAACAATTATAAGCTAAGCCAATCAGCTAATCATTAACTTCAAGGTAATGTTTCTATTTAGAATACTTTATGCTAATATTTGAGCCAAGGTGAAAAAAGATGGTTAACATTTTCATGATCAGACCACCAGAACTATTAACTATTAAGAACTATATAATTTTTAGGACGTCTAGGTTACAATAGAATACTGGACAGGCTGAAATTAATTTGCCTAAAATAGCTTTGTTTAGGTAAGTAAGGTACAGTAAGTTCAACTTAAAATACTAGCAGACATAGGCAAGAGTCAAGACAATGTATGTTATCAGGGCCTCTTATTAGAAAATATTTATTAAAAACAAAGGCTGTGATATAAGAGGGCACAGGTGGGTTGCACTTCTCAAGGTTGCAAGGATTCACCTGAACTTGGTGCTAGACTAGCATACTGGCTGATGTTGCTGTGGGCTGGGCTGGGTTTCCTAACCTGGTATGGAGACTTTGATCCCCTTTGCCAATACCTTGACCTTTCTGTGGATCATGTGCCAGTGCTCTGAGCAGGTCCAGAATGATATCATGATCAAAGGTATCCAAAACCAGTGAGAAATCAGGGACAGCCAGGATGGATGTTATGAAAGAGAGTTGGGTGGCCAGTTGTTGGGAAGATATGTGGCAGAAGCATATTGATTGAATTTTACAAAATAAAAGTGGGCTAAAAAATCCAATAATAAATAAAAACTAACTCAGAAAATGATTTTTGATCTCTTAGTGGTTTCAATACATTTGCCAAGACCACATATTAAACATTCTAATCATATGAATACCAATGCTTTTAACCATTTTTGAAATAAAAAGTTACAAAATCTTTTGCCAAAGCTGTACATTTATTAATACTGGCTTAAGTGTAAAAGGTGAGTGTTTTATAACTTGATGGGAGGTTCTTTGGGTCTTTCATTTATGCTGTCATTTCAACAAAACAAATCAATCTCCAAATTAGCATGCCCTGCTTGTATAAAAAGGTAATTTTTCTGAAACATATTATCACAGATATCTAATATTTTATTGGCTGCAAATTTATAATTATTTACCTGAGAGCAAATTTCACTGAACTAAATGGGGCTCATATCAAAGAAATATTCCACGTTAGATATATTGCAATATGAAAACAATTGTACTTCTGGGCTAATGAGGAAATTTTTATTCATAAATGTTTCCACTATCAAGTAATCAAGCATTTCAAAAGAAAACTGAAAACTCTCTAATCGAAATTGTAGTAGCATTACATTATTGAATGGTTAGTCTCATGAGCTTTAACAATAAAATAAAATATAGTATACAGTCTAATTCTAAAATAAAATAGATAAATGGGAGTAGCATGATAAAATACTATCTGGAAATACAAAGAATCAATAATGAGACAAACTCTTAACGATTTTATGTAATCCAGTAGTAGTGTAGGCTGAAGACCAGATTGCTGTGAAATAGAGCTAAGAAATAAAGCAATTCTGTAGCCAGATTAAAAGAATGGTTGTTAAAACAAAATATCAACATCGACAGAATTACTGATATTATGAAAAAAATTAAGTTTTTCCTTGCCTAGACTCATTTTTCATTCATTTGGTTAGATGAGGGACAGATATCCAATTATGCAGTATAGTTATTATTTTTCTTTTAAGAGAACCATTTATTCTGAAGACAAAAATCCCAAGATAGCAAGTGCTTGTTATCACAAATAATATGGTTGCTTCGTATTCAATTGCTGAGCCAACAATTAATTATATGCTATCAAACCAAGAAAATAGGTGGTGTGTTTCATTTTTCATGTCTTTTTAGGAAGGACTCTCAGAAGGACAGTGTTTCATGGAAAAATAAATCAAGAAATTCAGAAGAGGTGAATTTGGAGTGCAGTTGCTGTTTATACTGAACACATAAAATGCACACAATTATCTTATGTTTTGGAAAAGAAAGAATGTACTGTATATATCTCAGAGGACAATAAATAACTTATATTATATAATTGCTGTCTATCTTTTACACAAATCTACTTTTATGGGTAGTAATTAAAAAAAGAAAGCTCCAATATGAATGTTTGATTGTAAACACTATTAAAGAGAATGGAAAAATACAGAACAAGAAAATGCAAACAAAAAGAATGATTTTTTGTCACTTTAAAGAAAGGCACTACTGCATTTATAATTTATTTTTAGTATCTTGTTCAATTTCAAGTCCACATGACTTTACAGCAGCTCTGGGTATTTTACAATTAAAAAATATAAAAGGAAGCAAAAAGAAAAACCACAGCTGACTGGAAGACAAAACCATGAATTAAAGGGTTTCACTCACTAGCTTAACCCCAGAACTGAGTGAACTACCAAGTCTTCAACAATTTATGGAACATTGATGTCATTTTACAGGTTAGAGCCACTGCATGCTTCCTGGGCCCTTAAGCAGGTCCTTGACACTGCTTAATCTGAATTTACCAGATGTGCAGAAAGTTACAGAGACAGACTGTTCCTCAAGTAACCAGACCTTAAGCTATGGAAGGCCTTTTGGTGATAACCAGCACTTTGAATTGCACCCAGAAGCCAGCTCACAAAACAGGCCTGTACTGCCAACAAAATTTGGTGTTATAATTTCTGGAAAGTATTGGAATTTGGGATGCCATGAGATTGTTGTAAATTGTTCACACTAACCATGAATTTTAAAACTATACCGGTTTTATTTCTTTATGTGTGTGTGTGTGTTTTTAAATGTCACAGTTAAGTTTATCCTTGTTAAATGATACTGGAGTTTACAAATACAAATGATTAAAATGTACACAGAACACAAAAGACACAATTCTTACCTTGCGTCCTCTGGTGATTCAGCAATCAAGTGATACGTCCTATCTGTCATGACAATATCAATCCCATTTTCTTTGCATGTATTATCAATGATATCTCTGAAATGGGGAAGAAAGAGAGAATATTTCATTATATTTATAATGACAGTACTTCAGCATTTCCAAAATGCTCTTTTATTAATCAATAATTCGGAGTTCTTTCAAACAGCCCTGATATTGTCATCTCAGGGAAGGATATCACTGATTCAATCTGTTCCAACCAAGAATCTGGTGCACACTATCCCTTCAGCTAAGATCATGCAGGAAAATGAGAGGCATTTTTTTTTCACTCCAGTGAAGAAGATGAGAGATAGCAGCTTGCAAATTAGTAAATTTTATTCATGATTATACACTGGATTCGCCTGTTTTTAACTGCGGAAAATATCCTGCATAGACCTTACTTACTTGGCTGATCGTATTTCAAGTGTTCCTTTGAGTTTTTCTTCACCATCATTTTCAAAGTACATGAGTCTGGACTGTCGAAGGACAAACCACCTTTTCTTCCAGTTTCTTCTCGACAGTGTAGATGAACCCCCACCTTTTTTATGCAGCCAACCTTGTTTAAGAGCTTCCTGTTTTGAGCGGAACCATAAGAAGGTTTCATCTTTCAAGACACACCAACGACGCTTCCAAGTATTAATTAAGCCACCTGCCAGGAATGAAGAAGACAGGTTTTTTTTTTTTTAATGTTCCATGCTCCTATGCATCACGAAAACCTATCTTTCAGGCATCCTAGTGGAATCACAGAACTTCTGAGAAATCTGCTGAAGAACTTCGAAATTCCAAAGAACATACTGTACAGGGAAACTTTAATTTAATAGATGAATTGGCGAAGGAGATGCCAGTTATTCCTGACTCCATTAAATCAATTAAAACTGGAAAAAAAGCATAATGTGTGCATATAAATATTTTATATGTGTGAATAAGATCTACACTGCATTTAACAGTTGGCGGTCACAGACCTTCAAGCTATCTTCTATTACAACTAACACATTAAAAACCAGCAATCTGTCTTAACTTCAGGGCCTCCTTTAGTATGCCTGCCCTTTGCAATAGCATCTCCACTCCCCAGATTTAAACAGCACCTTACTCTGCTTTCTTTTAAATATACATATATAACATTGATGAGTAAAGATGATGATAAAGCATGTGCTATTTCATCAATTACTTTCATCATTGTTAAACAGGTTAGAGATCATGAGAAAGTAAGACAGATGAGACAAAACCAATAAAACTAATTCTAACAGCTGATCATTTAAAAAAAATCAATAAAAAAGGAAGATTCTGAGTATTTAAAAATGACTAGACATTATCCCGATTTCCACTTGTTTCCCCTCAAAAGAGAAATAAAGCACTAATATTGGATACTTAAGAAAGAAATTGTTTCTTGAATAAATTACCTTTCATATACAAAAAGCTATGAAAATAGGGTAGACTGACACAGCTATAGACAGAATCCCTCCGATATGAAAGTTCATCATCTGTATCAAACCGTGAGTCAAAGTCTTCTTCACTGTCTTCAAACTGGAAAATAATCAACATAATAAGTGAAGTTGTCTGATATTTCAGTCCTAATCTGCAAATTTTAACTTCTATTAATTCTGACAGGTAATTTTCATTGTTTAATAAAACAATGTACCTGTCACGTATGCAGTGCTACCCTTGTGATAAATAAAATTAATGAAATTTAATTTCTGATATACAATGCAGTCACTATAAATATGATTGCAAAAGAGCTACTGTCATTTTCCTGAAATATAAATTTTCTATCATGGCAAAAGAGGGTATCTAACTAAATACACAAAGATTTTATTTTAGAGTTGTACAACCTTTTTTTCCAGTCTGAAAATATATTTAAAAAAAAGCTATTTGAGGCCAGAGCAAAAAGGAAAAAAATATATAGATAAAACTAAACTAAAAGTAAATTTAATTAAATCCAGTTAAAATTACACCCATATATTTAATACAGTTTTTACTTAGGACACATTAAAAAAGAACATTTCAGCACTATTGAGCAGGTACATGCAGTTCTGAACAACAGACTATTCTATATTATTTATATTTTAGTAACAATTAATATTACATGTTAATAAATTCAAATTCTGGCACTTTTCTAAATGACTTTTTAGTAAGTCTGATCATTTAAGACTTCTCCCTTATACAGGATATAGTTTTGAGAAGCGTTTCATTTCAGTTGTATTAATGAACTCAAAAGGCCAAGGTTTGCAATACATAGCAGCCATTAAAAGAAGCCTCAGGGAAGACTAGCCATGAATGATGAGAAGACTTTTCCAGCAAAGTAGGAAAAGAATTTAGTGGAGAAGTTAATACTTGGATGGCCAATCAAGGGCAGTTTTTGATAAAGAGAACTATTCTGCATTATGTATAACAGTAGGATTTGACCAGATTAAAATTACTCTTAATTTCCAACAGTATGTAATGCAAGAAAAGAAACTACTCACAGAAGACTGAGCTCCCTCAGAACTAAATCTGTATGCTCCAGAACTGTTGTATGTCCCTATGGAACAGCGATAGTCAGGAGACCACTGGCTACTGTGAGAATTAGAAAAGGTCACACTGCTTCCAGAAGTGATAGCACCATCCTCATAGTCATCCTGGTCATAATCATAGTCTGCCTCAGGAGAGATGAGCTCTGAAGCATTAGGGGGTTGGTGGGAAACATTTTCTGGCATGCAGTATGTGGATTCCCCGCTTGAAGAGTTGTGGAGACTAAGAGAGTCAAGGATAGAAGGGATAAGGGTATTGTTGCCCGTAGCGGGACTAGCTGGAACGACTGTGTCATTCATATATGGATCCTCTTCTGAAGAGTCATCGCTTGTCCGAATGCCGCTGGTCCTTTGATCCGAGTGGCCATGCTCACTTGGGTTAGGTGAATCCTTGAAAGCATCATCATCTGCTTCAAAGCCCTCATCAACTTCCTCCTCAGGATATGGCTGGCTGAAATTAAAATTGGGTTTTTCAGTGCCTGTGGTGCCACTAAGCTCTGCACAGAAACTGCTGCTTACGGAGAGGGTTCTTTCAATGTTTCGGACACATTCATCGATCTCATCGAAGTTCAGAGACTCCAGGAACTCCTGTGCGGCACGACAGGCTTCATCTTCCAAGCGTTTCAACTCATCATCTCGGAGCTGCTGCAGCCTCTGCAGTGATGCTTCTGTCAACGTCAGTTCTTGCTGCTCCTTCATACGCTGCAGGTCTTCAATTTCTTTTTCCAGGCGTAGGATCTCCTCCACCTGCTTGTTTTCTTTTTGCCTCTCTAGCTCTTGCTTTAGTTCTTTTGGGGGTTTTGGAATAGCTGCAAGTGCTTCTTTAGCCTGCAGAAACAGTGCAAAAATCGTCTTTTTCATAAGTGTCGGTAATGTGCTATTTTTCAAACCTTAGAGGTTTTCCCTCATTCCAACGGTTATCACAATAAATTAATTTAACATGAACAAAGTAGGAAATACATGGCTAACCTGCTGAGCAAGACGTTCTGCTTCCATCTTTTGTTGCTTTCTAAAAGGATAATTAGAAAATGTCAGGAAGGATGAAAAGGCATCAAAGCAAAAGAAAGGCATCATTAAAGCAAGACATGGCTTCTGAAGACTTCTCAATAATTTCCACAAACTGTTCTAAAAAACTTATTTAATATAAATTGCTTACCAGATATATTAAAGCAAGTACATATTCCGTACCTTTCCTCCTCTTCCCTTTGCCTTTTTTCCTCCTCTTGCTGTTTCTTTTCCTCCAACAGCTGTCTATAAAATCGGCGGGCAATCAGCCCTCGCATCTGCTTCTGGAAGGTGATGGCAGCTTTCTTCAGCAATAGGTATCTCCTCCTTAAGTAAAAAGCTCTGTAATTTTTCTGTATGATAACTATGTAGTAAAGGACTTTTTTGTAGTGTTTTCTGAAATAATATGCAGAGACAACTCATGTGAAGAAGACATACTGTTTGAGCAATCACTACCCATGCCATAAATTAAAGATTCCAGATAGTAAAAGAAGTCTGTGGACTCAACTCCCATAAATATTCTTTCCTTGTGCTTCACATTTCTGTTCCCCTGGGAAGACTAGAGCCATTACAAAAGGGAAAGATACATCTTGACTAAGCAAACACATTTTCCTAACATTGCTTTTATTTGTGGTCTACCTGTCTATGTGTGTATTTATTTGTCCTCCAGAAAATCATTTTCTGCTCTTATAAAGGACATATCATTCAATATATATAGATAGAAATAATATGCACATAAAATGAATGACCTCATTGTTTAAGCAGCTATTAGACAAATATTTATTGACCTATGCAGGGAAGATAAAATCACCTCTTCAGACTTCAGTACATAATAATTGACATTAGATAAACAAATCAAGCATAATTCAACCACCTAGTCCTATCATTCTTTGCTAATTAAAAAACAACAACTTTATCTACTGGAACACTTTTTTTTCTCTATTACCATAGCAAAAATAATAAAAAACCAGAATTCCAAATCTCCTTTTCCCAACGAGAATACATTGGAATTACAGCCAAACAAATTAGTTATAATTCACAATTACATGCTTATAATCAGATGATGGCACTCAGAACCACCTCCAGATTCTCTAGAAAAATGTCTGATCGTTACACATTGGAATACAACTTGAAGGATTCCAACTATCTTGCAAATTCTAAAAGCTATAATTTAGAAAGGGCCTGATTGGGGAATGCAATTTTACATGATGAGACAACAAATATAAGTTCCAGGTAAGACACAAAACATTCTGTTTATGCAGAGATTATTTTATAAGAAATATTGTTTAATATACTGTTTCCTTAGACCCTGTATGAAATATATTTTAAATTTACCTCTCAAAATAAAGAAAAAAGTTCCACTTGAAGCATATTTCAAGTTTTATTACTATGCTTTTTTAAATTTTCAATGTAATGTAAATGACCCAATGTGCTTTGTGAACTTGATGTTCTTATTGCTAAATAGCTTCATTTTCAATTTTCTTATTTTTGACATAGGTTAAAGACCTGTAAATGGATTCTGAACAATTTAAATGTTAATAATACAATTAACACAATTCATTATTTAATTGGTTATTTAACAAAAATTGATAATGATTATTTTAAAAATAAAAACAATGCAATGTATCTGATCATATGAGTTAAAATTTAATGCAGCATAACATCTAAACAAATGCTAACACAGTATAATACCTTTTCCTGATTTCAGCATCTCTTTTATTTTTTAAAAAATGTTCAAGTAAGGATTGAGAGAAAAATAATAAAAATCAAATGTTGCTTTAATCTTGTGCCTCAGGAATTCAAACCTGCAATCTGCAGAGTTTATACTAATTTAAATGTTTTTGAGTTTAACTCAATAATAATACACAACTCCTAATTTCTTACCGTGCCATGTAGCCTAAGACATGTGCTCGGATGATCATGGCTGCTTTGCCAACCTCTATTTCTCGCTGTTTTTCTAACATGTGTTCCAAAGTTTCACGCAGAAATACCTGAAAATATGTGGAACATGTTTATTTACAATATATGGAAAAATAAATTTCAGTGTCTGGCAAAAAAGTGGACTAAAGTTTGTTTGTTTGTTTGTGTGTGTGTGTGTGTGTGTGTATACACATACATACATACACACACTGCTCCACTTTTTTCTGGATCTCTTTTAATCTCTAGAGCCCTCTACCTTCTCCATCAAAAGGAAAGTTATAGATTAGATAGACAGACAGACAAATTGTCCAATTTTGTTGGATCCAGGCCTGGTCTTTTGATAAGTAGATAAACCAATACCTCTTTAAGGACCTTTGTTAGCTTCCCCTTCTCTCGGAGGGGTTTGATTACAGCCCAGATCTAACTCCCAATCCCACATTTGGCTGTTTAATTAACCAGGTAAGGTAGGGGTCCAGTTGATAAAGCGGCAGAACTGAGACTGCAAATGACCATGTCCATTTCCTAGGGGTCCAAGGGCTCAAAGGTTTTCCAGATAATACCTCAAGGCATCACTTCTCTTGTCTCAAATAGATTCTGTCATCTTGCTTGAAACATGAAGTGGATGCAAACAATTTTATTAAAGAAATGCTAAACCAGATAATTGAAAATTATACTAACTGGATTTTTAACTCATCCTTCCCCAAAATTGTCCAGTACCCTTTAAATAGGGTAGCTGGCCAGAATGTTGTGGAAACAATGAGAAAAGGGAAGTTATTATACTTTGCTGACCATAATGCCATAGAATAAATTGAATTTAGGACTCTTTCTTATGTTTGTCATGTTCATCCCACCCCACCCCCGCATCACTTCAGGGATGTCTTACACAGCTTAATTCATGGGCTTCCTAGTAAACCAAGAAGCTGCACAGATCAGTGGAGAGCAAGAGACCATTCAGGAGATCTTGTTAAATGTCCTAGTTACTTCTATATTCCAATGGTCAACAAAGAATAGAATAGAATAGAATAGAAGAAAGAGAAGAGAAGAGAAGAGAAGAGAAGAGAAGAGAAGAGAAGAGAAGAGAAGAGAAGAGAAGAGAAGAGAAGAGAAGAGAA